AAATTTCCCGGTGGGGATAGGAACGGGGACGGAGATTGGGGTCCCCGTCCCATTATGATGCCTAGAATAAATCTTTTTCTTCTCACAATTAAGGATACAATTACTTTTAAATGTTGACATTTATTTTAAACAACACGTTTGCTCAAAATTGTATTTACTAAAAGTAGAAAGGAGCAGTTTGAGGTATTTTGGCTTTTTGTATTTTTAGAAAAGTATTCAAAGTGGACGAAAGAATTAAAAATAGAATGAAATTTAACAAAACAAAGCAACTATCTCATCATTTACTCTCAATCAAAACCTCTGTTACTATAAGGGAGATTTCTAGATTTATGAAAGTTCAGGTCCCACTTTCAAATATTTCACTAAACCTCAAACGCCAATATTAGAATTTACTCAAATTTTAATGATGGTTCAATATGAAGAAATTTCAAATTCATGTCAATTAAATGTATACATATATACATGCATACATAGAGTCAGGTCCAAACGAGAACAGTGACAATATAAGAAAACACGATAATTACCAATAACATTAATTTTACGCTAAACTCACGCACGACCTTGACCTTGACCTTGACCTAGGTCACAAGCCAAGTCGCTCGGACACCCTTTCTTTCATCGTGTTTAATGATCACATATGATTTGACTGTTTTTATGCTTTATTATTTTAATCATGTTATCGTTTGATCAGCCATCTCTATATATGTGTGTGTTATATATATAGAAGCTAATTCAAAAAGAGTTTTGGGGTAAGACTTAAGGGGCTGTTTGGTAGGCTCTTAATGGTTACATTAAGAGCCAATCGCTGAATCGGTAAGAGGTTGCAAGTGTTTGGCAAAAAAAAAAAAACCACCTCTTAATGGTTACAAACACCTCTTAACCATTTTGCATCTGGTACCTCACTCAACCATTCAGATCCTTCTTTTTCCAATTTTACCCCCTTCCTCGTCGCTCACAGCTCCTCCCCCACCCTCTCCTTCCTCTCGTCGCCGGTTACCCTTCCCCCCATCTCCATCGYCGGCGACCTTCCACAGCTTCCATCGCCGGCGACCGTCCACAGCTTCCGTTGCCTTCACTGAGTTCACGTCGCCTTCCCAGCTTCCCCCATCTCCGTCCCCGTCTTCCGTCGCCTTCCACCATCTCCGTCCCCGTTTTCGCCATCGCCCCTCGCCATCGCCGGTCACCTGTTGCCTTCACGAACTCGTCGCCCAGCGTTCGGGAGCCCCAAATTGGACCCAACGTACACACCCAGTTGAATCCAACCAGATTTTGGTTAGGGTTTTGGTTTTTTTTGTTTATGATTAATGAAGCAGATTGGCAATCGATGAAGCAGATTTTGGTTAGGGTTTTCGTTCTTGATTCTTGAATCGATGAAGCAGATTGGTTAGGGTTTTCGTTCTTGATTCTTGAATCGATAAAGCAGATTGGTTAATCGGCCCTAACACATTATCCAACTTCAACTTCAAAGAAAATGTGAATGAGGGTTAAAATGGTAATTTACTGTCATTCAGATAACAATTACCAAACAACATTATTTCATTCAGTACTTAACCATTCTGACCCTCTTAACCATTCTGACCACTTAACCATTCTGCACCAAACCATTCAGCAACTGCCAAACAACCCCTTAATTCTTTGAATTGATACATCAATCAATAACAAGTTCATAAATTTATTCGTTCAAAATATAAAAAAAGGACATTTGATTTTTTTGGACATTTTCCATTTAATTCTATCAAATAATAGTTGAATGCACAATTGTACATTTTAATGATCAAAATGTTAGGGCTTAAACAAAAGAATCAAATGATAGTTGTTTTTAGTTTATGCAAGTGAAAAAAAGGTAACGATATTAAACATATCGTGGTCGACACGGTAATTTAGTCATTGATTTTTCTTAGATACTTGATAAAAATATACAATGGTAAAATCGAAAACAATGTAAGGAGCTGTTTACCAAATTTTACATTAAGTCCTGCATGGATAAATTTGTCTGTCTAGATAAAAATTTGTTGTTATTTACTTTTTTTACTGAATTAACCGTCTGAAAGATGGAAATGACCATTTTACCCTTCACTTCATAAGATAAGCCCTTGACCACAAACACGAATATTAGAACCACATTCTGCTAAATTAAACCACCACTTCAAAATGCCAATGCATGCAGCATATGTCTGCAAATTCTTACAAGAAAAAAATACCCAAAATTGTATTGTTTAGGCTCATAGATCTAAAACCCTTGATTCACATGAACACTTATCATCAATAAACCCACATACACAAACCTTCGAAACTGCGTTAATTAGCTGGAAAGAACAAAACCCACTTCAAAAACAACGAAACAACATACAACAATCAAAAAATATGTGTAGTAGATTAAAGTCACTCGTGGAACCAGATAAAACCCATTAATCCGAAAAGCATACAAGTACCGTCACTAAATCTAAAGATCGTCAGCTTTGTGAGTGTGGTTCAATGAAGACGGGAAACGAAAACGAAAACGAAATCAAAAAGCGAAAATGATATCAAAAAGCGAAATCTGAGATGCGATCTAAAAGGAGGCGTGAAGTGGTAGGGTTGTCTTTTTTTTTTGTTGAACCTAGACAAGAGCTCTTTCCCATCTGTGCGAATAAGTTCATTTCTGTTTTCTGTACGAATAATCCTTAAGTAAACACCACATTTTGGCTGAGCGAATAAACCCTTTAACCCATTAAGCTCGTTAAGTTGTAAGTAAACACCCCTAATATGCATATTCTATCAAAAATATAAATTGTAATAAAAATAGCATCAGTTTTTGATTATTTTATTAAAAAACCAAGCTTTTATCATTTTATCTTGAAACAAATTTGCAAACAATTTAAAATTTCAATTACCTATTTAGCAATCAATACTGCTAGTCATCATCTCACTCACTAATTACTTGACTTGGATAAGAAGAAATAGTAACCGGTGTTTGAGATTGCTTATAAAAACAACTTATTGACTTATTCAGTTATTCTAGTGTGACACCGGTAATAAGCACTTTTGAGTGTTTGGATAAACAGCTTATACCAGTGCCAAACCGGTGATAAGGAATTTTTTTGAAGAAGATAAACCATTCTAACTTATAATAAGTTGATAAACACTTTTATAGAAAAACATAAATTGTTTCAAATAAGCAATCCTTGACACCCACTAAAAATTACCACATACTAAAAACAACAATCCACAATCACACTAACGTCTTTTTAAGCGTTGTAAACGATTCCAGCTTTTCATTAGGGTTTTTAAGCATTTTAAATGATTGTAGCTTTTAACAATTAATAAATTGAGAACTTAGTCAATCTCGAATATGAAATAATGCTAATTCAATCTCTATAACATCAGTGTTCAACATGGCTCGTTTGGAAATTCGATAAAAAAAATTAGTCAAATCGAGCCAAATAATTCGAGCCTACACTTTTTCGAGCCAAACTTATTCATATATACATAAATCATATGCTCGATATATACAGCTCGATCTCGAGTTTGAGCCATAAACAAACTTGTAAAGCTGGAATTTTAGGTACAATGTATAAAGTAGCATCATGTTCAGGCTTAAACATAGAAAAAATATTCCAGCTCGAACCCTTCTTTGAAAAAGTTATTCAAGCTCGAGCATGATAACTTGTTACTCAACTCTACACGGTTCGTTTACACCCCTAACCGTGAGCGTCACCAGCTTGTGCTCCCCTCGACTAATCATATGCTTATAGAACAACAATAAGATCCTATGTGACCTTGTGGGACTTGAACTTATGACCTATAAGAAGGAGCTCTAAAGACCCGAACCTTATTATCAATTGAGCTAATCCCACAAGGTTGACTGACGAGACAATATCTATAAACATCCGCAAGTAATCACAACATAGAAGAGATATTGTCACCAAAACCAATAAATTTTTGATTCCAGACAATACAATATTTGTAAAACAAAAAATCTTCGAATTGGTACTCTTTGGTTCTCGTTCATTATCTCTCAAATTTCTATCTTTAGAATCTGATGCCAGACAGAAGAAAAATGATTAATAGAACAAGAATCATTGTTCGATACCACTTAATAAACGTAAATTATGTTTATTGAACTTATTACAACTTTAGGTTGTTTTAATGACTACCGTTTCTTCCCTTAAGTCGTAATCAAGACTCTTTTTCCTTATTACAACTACTATTTCTTGTTTTCTTCGTTACATCAATCGAGTTCCATCCAACGGGTTCTGTTGTGATATTACCGAGACCCAAATAGCATTAGCTCAATAGTTGGTTCAAGATAAAACACAAATAACCTAAGAACCAATGAACTAAAGTTCTAAATCGTGACACTAAGCGGAAATACGATTGACAATGCAAAGACAATCAACCACCAATTAAGAGACTAAGAGAGGCACGGAGATTTTTACGTGGAAACCCAGAAAGGGAAAAACCACGGGAAGAAGACAACCACTATCACTTTGATGATGATACAATTAAGCATTCAAAGGTGTTCTTGAAAACTTGGGGAGAGAATTTTAGAGAGAACAAGGGTTTTCTATCTAATTGAAATCAGCACTACCAAAACCCAGCACACACCAAGAAGCGACATTATGGGGGCGGCATAGCCTGCATGAGAGAGCCGGTCCCCCACACAAGGGCTGAAAGCCATGGTCGCAGAGGCAGCACGGGTATCATGCATGAGCTACTGTTGAAGGCCGTGCATTCAGAGGCTGGGGCGACTAGCCAGACAACCTAAGCTGCATGGCATGCAGCCACGATCCAGCAAGTGCAGGAGTGACTTTTGGTCGATTGGGCAGGGGCCTAGTTCATTGGTTGAAGGCAACATCTCACAGGTTCGGAATGTGTTTATAGGATTTATACACTCAAGAAACAAATCTCCCAAAAAAGCATATGACCTACAAGTTGTTTCTGTAAATTTTGTTGCTTAATTCACAGTGGTTTCAAGGTTCAATGTTTTGGATGTTGATTTTGTTCAATGGAAGTAATTATAGTGATCATGTTTCATGAACAATCTTTATAATTTTCCAATTAAGTAAACACATACATCTATGGAACGATCTAATATTCTAATTACACCTATAACTCACTAATCAAATGAGATGATTATAAGCAAGATATTGTTGCAGTTCTTTGATTCACAGTGAATGGTAAAAGCTAATTGACATACCCTAACCTTCGTCTCATCATCATCGTCGTCAACCCAAACCAGCCACCATCCATTTGAAGTTTTGATGAATCAATCAAGAACCACACAGCATCCACCGTGATCTTGTTAACAATGGCGCCTTAACAATCATCAAAAACAACAAAATCTAGAGTTCTGCAACAAATAAACAGGAAATTAGCGAACAATTTCGAGGAACACGAGAGATAAAAAAGGGGGATCTGGTATTGCCGTACCGTTGATTCCATTTCGGTTTTCCGATTGTGCTGCTGCTGCTGGGACGGTGGAGGAGGGCCTTTGTTATTCTTCTGGGGTGCAGCGGTGGTGACGGTTTCATTGGTTTTCTTCTCATCCCGTGCCTTTGCGAATATAACCGTGAACCCATCTGCAGATGAGGGATTCTTGACATCCCATTCGCCGAACTTCGGCAATGGCTGAGGTTTCTACATCCGAAAAGCAATAAAAAAAAACCCTAAATTCAAAATTGGATTGTTCAACAGAAATGCAAATTGATATCTAAGAGATAAGAGGAACTTACAGACGTCATAAGATGGTATGGGGGGGATGAAAGGAAGTTGATGATGGATGAAGAAATGGAGGGAAGAAAGAAGAAGAAACCATGGGAGGAGCTCCCTTCAACAAAGAGGGCGTGCCTTCAGGGACAATCGTTGCAAGTAACGATAACCTGCCCTCATGCCTTGCTAATTGCTATTCTTCAAAAATCCATTGTTTTTTTTCCTTCTCATTATTAAAAGAAAAAAACAAATTATTTATTTATCATAATTTTTCCTGGGTATTTGACCCGGTCGGGCCTTCAAGAAAAAAACGTATGTAATTGGGCTTTTTGACCCGACTTTTTAGGCTCAAGCTTACTGGGAGAAGGAGATGGTCTTTTTTGGGTCGAGCTTTCCACCTAGATATTTTTGTTTTATGTATCTATACTATATTATAAAGTATTCAATAAGAATTCTTAAAAATCATTTTTTATGTACGACATATTGTATATTGATGTATATTACTTAAAATTCAAGATTACAAGTAAATTATGCATAAGTACAACTTATTAAAACTCCATGTTTCAATTCATGTAACTAACTGCATATAAACATAATCAAATGGAGAATAAACATTTCATTTTAAAATATAAAAAATTTAATATATAATTAGAATATTTATCGAGTTCTAATAAAATAATTAAGTATTATCTTTATAAGAAAATTATATTATTAAACCAA